GGTCTTTCAGTCTAGTTCTATAGGCTACACAATCATGGGGAAGACTGCTGACTTGACAGTTGTCCAAAAGACGACCATCGACACCTTGCACAAGGAGGGCAAGACACAAAAGGTCATCGCTAAAGAGGCTGGCTGTTCACAGAGCTCAGTGTCCAAGCACATTAATAGAGAGGCGAAGGGAAGGAAAAGATGTGGTCGAAAAAAGTGTACAAGCAAGAGAGATAACCGCACCCTGGAGAGGATTGTGAAACAAAACCCATTCAAAAATGTGGGGGAGATTCACAAAGAGTGGACTGCAGCTGGAGTGAGTGCTTCAAGAACCACCACACACAGACGTATGAAAGACATGGGTTTCTGCTGTCGCATTCCTTGTGTCAAGCCACTCTTGAACCACAGACAGCGTCAGAAGCGTCTTGCCTGGGCTAAAGAGCTGGTGAGTGGTCCAAAGTCATGTTCTCTGATGAAAGTAAATTTTGCATTTCCTTTGGAAATCAAGGTCCCAGAGTCTGGAGGAAAAGAAGAGAGGCACTTCATCCACGTTGCTTGAAGTCCAGTGTAAAGTTTCCACAGTCAGTGATGGTTTGGGGTGCCATGTCATCTGCTGGTGTTGGTCCATTGTGTTTTCTGAGGTCCAGGGTCAACGCAGCCACATACCAGGAAGTTTTAGAGCACTTCATGCTTCCTGCAGCTGACCAACTTTTTGGAGATGCAGATTTCATTTTCCAACAGGACTTGGCACCTGCACACAGTGCCAAAGCTACCAGTACCTGGTTGAAGGACCATGGTATCCCTGTTCTTAATTGGCCAGCAAACTCTCCTGACCTTAACCCCATAGAAAATCTATGGGGTATTGTGAAGAAGAAGATGCAATACACCAGACCCAACAATTCAGAAGAGCTAAAAGCCACTATTAGAGCAACCTGGGCTATCATAACACCTGAGCAGTGCCACAGACTGATCGACTCCATGCCACGCCGCATTGCTGCAGTAATACAGGCCAAAGGAGGCCCAACTAAATACTGAGTGCTGTACATGCTCATACTTTTCATGTTCATACTTTTCAGTTGGCCAACATTTCTATAAATCCTTTGTTTTTATTGGTCTTCAGTAATATTCTAATTTTCTGATATGATGAATTTGAGATTTTCATTTGTTGTCATTTGTAATCATCAAAATTAAACAAAATAAACATCTGAAATATATGAGTTTGTATGTAATGTATGAATATAATATACAAGTTTCACTTTTTAAATGGAATTACTGAAATCAATCTACTTTTTCATGATATTCTAATTTTATGACCAGCACCTGTATGTCCTAATACAGATATGTTTTTGTCATATTATTTATGATTGTATTTTTTTGTTGAATACATTCTCACATTTCAATAAGAATACATTAATGTTTGAACATTTCATTTCAGGAGCTGTTAAGAGAACTACACTTTCCATTTGCTTGTTTAGCTTCACCTCTCTAGATCTGAGTTGAATCCCATTTTGTACACACATAGCACAGCTTAAGCAATGTTTCCAAACCTTTTTTGACTTGTGTTCCCCTTTAGGCATTTTGTCTTACCATGAGTACCCCTCTCAGTCAAAAGTATTGATGACTGCTCAAAAATGGAACACACAATAATGATTATAAAATAAAGATTCATTTACTAAATCTGAGCATTTAATTCTTATTATTGTGTTCTTTTCATCTCAAGTATAAAAAAACAACATAAATATGTTGCACGGAAGTTAATAAGGAATCAAAATAAATAAAAAAAATAAAATAAATCTGCTTTCATAAAACTGGAGCTCCTATTAGTAACTCCCCTATAAACACATATGAACTTGATGAATTGGAAACAAAACACTAAACAAAAATTATAGACAGATTGACTCCATAAATTTAACTTTGCTGAATGGGTCCTCACAAAGCAAAACATCCCAGCCCTATTTTATTTGACTTCCTAGGAAATAAAACATTTTTATGAACCCCTTGCACTGAACTCACGGACCACTAGGGGTACGCATACCCACGGCTGGGAATCACTGGCTTAAGGTTTCCAAAAATATTTTTCATAACATTTCGGTCCATAATAACATGATCATGTCAAACTGATTCTTTAGGTTTTTTTTTTTTTTTTTTGTCACATCTCCATGATCCAAATCTCTCATTCCGTGACATCAGAAAAGATGCACTATTGCTGCTCCTAAAGTACTCATATCCTGCATAATTTAGGTGTCTCCTTGCTGCCACATACCTGACTTATATGAATGAGTGATTAAAGGACTTGTGCTGCACTAAAAGGCTGCACAAGGAGGAGGTCAGCTTTTAGATAATTTTTAGTATAAGAGATTCCCTCTGAAATGTGCAATAGGAATATATGAGGACCAGGGTTAAAAAAACAACCACTCTATTGAACTAGGATCTGACTATCTCTGAGGCGTGATGTTCCTGTTTCCTTGTTAAATCTGAATGTGTAACAATTTATATTAATTTGCTCAAGGTTGCATTTTTTAAGAGAGCTACACTGTGCTCGACAGGGATGGACATGGTCAGCAATACGCAAGTAGACTGTGGTGTTTAAATAACTCTCAGTTGGTAGGATGGGGTCCAAAGTGAGCCCCACTAACAACTAAACTAGAAGCCCCAGCCTGAATGATGATAGAAGGTAGAATGATCTATCATGTTGTTTATGCACATCTCTGACCTTACCATCTTAATCATGCAGCTTAAATTGAGATTTAATCGACCAAAAAATGTTTTTGCAAACTGCTGAAGACTAGGTAAATAGCAGCATTGATGTTTTTCTCTTAGTTGAAGGGACTGGAACTTTGTGTGTTTTCTGGGACTGTAGTCCATCTCATTCAAGACTTATGTGCATTCTCTTTTTTTTTTTACATTATAGAATAGGGTTTATTAAAATCAGTACTGTGTTTCCATATTATATAACCACTATGCTATAGTCTTCTCTGACATTTGAATTAAAAAAATTAAATAAAAATAAAAAAAACACACACACACACACATACATATAATTGCCACTTAGTGCATGTTTTTTCTTTTGTTTTCAGGTTTTTTGTTTTCAGAGCCATTTCATTCAAAATCAATCAATAAATTTATATTAAAATAAATAAATGAATACATCTTGAATTAAATAAAAGTATTACATATATCGTGAACTAAAGTTAATATATTTTTTAATGAATTAATATACATTGAAATAAAAAACAACAATACAACTTATATGACAAAATTAAGCAAAATGTTGATTTTTTTCTAATTTAATGGTTATTTTTTTATTTTATAGAATATTCTGTTATTGAACAATATTCAATCATTTAAATATGTTTCAAACGGCTCTCCATACTGACAGCCATGCCAGGTTTGAACTTAGTTTAATCTCTGATTGCTTCCCCATTCCGATGCTCATTTTGAAAATGATCGAGATGCTCAAATTTAGTACATCTGTGACGTTGTTGAAATGCAGCTAAACAGGTGAATCCAGAGTGACAGGCTGGGTAGGCTATATCCAGTTCATTATTTTTTTTTTATTAACGTGTTGCCATACATGCCTGCTTATTTTACCATCCTCAACGTGCTGCGCATACAACCGTAAACTACACAGACATGCATTAATCACGTCAAATTCTTCTACTAAACTAAACAGCTGTTTTGCGCGTTAATTAACTGTCTGCGGTCTTTGATGCTGGCGGCGCGCGCTCAGTATTAGGTTTTGCTCTGCAGCTGAGAAATGGACGCACTTCCACTTTTTTGTCTCGTCTTGTTAGAAAATAGAAGACAAAACAAAGCAGAATTAAGATTGAACTAAAATCCATATTCTTATCTTCAGTGAAAAAAAGCGTTAAATTAACTATAAGCACTTAAATGTTTAGCTTTCACTTGTTGCATTAGTTTTATTTCTGTCGCACTTTGTTATTCGACGCTCAGCAATTTAGGAAGTGTCCACGGAGCCAAAGAGCAATGAGTAAGCAAAGTAAAAAATACAGCCCGCTATAAAGCATTAACAGACATGTTAGTTTGTTATAAACATTACCATCGGGTTTAAAGGTGCGTTTGTCTGCAGTTTTCCTCCTCTCTGGGTCAGTCAGGCGATAGAGGCTGGTAAAGTTCCGCTGCGTCTGCGTGCGTTTGGTGCTGTGCAGGATTCAGGTGTCATTATGAAAACTTAGAAGAAGAAAAAAACCAGAAGACTGAAGCAATGTCGACATGTGCACATGTAATTTTTTGTTTATTTAAATGTTATGTACACACTTTCAACAACACATGCTACAGGCCATTTTTTTTATTTTATTTTTTTTAGATTTACAGCTCCTTGAGCATAAAAACAGCTCTTGACAGCTAAAATAAACCTAGAGAAAACATACAATGTCTCACAGGCTTCAAACACTGGAGAAAAACATTCATATTAAGAAGATATATTTGTATTTTTGCGTCATATTTCCAATTTGTCTATTATTTCAGAGAAGGCCTCATAAACTACAGTATGCAGTAGTGATTGTGCAGCATATACTACATATTTCTGGTGCTGCTAAAGCTCCCTTTGGTTTGTGCTTCTCTGTAGCTGGAATATAGCACCCAAACATAAAGAACAGGGGGCCCTTGACAGCATCTTTGTAGTTTATCTAATCTGATCTTTTATTGTTTATTTTGTTTAACCTGATTTTCAAATGTGTAATGATGTTGCAATCTGAAGCAAACCCAGTGCCAAAAAGCAGTGCAAGTTTGCATTTCGGTATGAACAGTACAAAATATGGACTGCATGAAACTGCTCTAAATGCTGTGTAAAATTTGAATAGCAGAGCAAATATTTACATATTGGATTTACTATCTTAACACTGAGTTAACATTGTGTACCTCTGCAGAAAGTGCTTTTAAAGGAATCCTTAAAACTGTGGAATTAATGTTAAATCCCTGCATTTTAGTCATCACTACAGTCTGGTCTGGGTAAGCAAACTCTTTAAGTAGATTTCTGTTTCTATTTTTAATTTTATATTCAAGATAAGGCAAATTAAACAAACAGATTGCTTTAGATCCAAATTAGGGGTTTGTGCACGTGAACAGATAGACATCAGAAAGCACCAGGCAGCTTACAATACAGCAGACAGGTAGAAGACCACAGCTACACGTTCATCACCATACACTGCAGCACACTGTACATTAAGGCATGAGGTGTTGTTGATGTGAAACATCAACATAAGAATCACTGAGAAATTAAATGTATGTCTAAAACAATTAGCAGTCACATTATAAAAGGCAAATTATATAAAATGATTCACCTCCAAGCGTTTACCCTATTAAACTACTTAGAACATTCAGAATTACTGTTTCACTACAATGTTTCTAAGGAAGAATATGTGCCAGAATAATACTTTTATTAATAATATAAAAAATGCTAAGGAACATTTTGAATTAGCATCGGCAATGTGTACCTGAAAATAATTTAAAATTGTTGTTAAGAGCACCAGCCTTACCCTTCATCTAAATCTCACATTTGAAAAGCATTCAACTTTTGGCTATTCCTGCTGTTAATTGATTAGACCAGCAGTGGATTCAAGCAAGTTTTTTTTTAATAAAGATGCATGTTTTCTTTTTCAGGGTCTAAATATGGACTGACTTGAAAAGTTTGCATACCCCTATAATTTTTCTGTATTTTTATACATTGCAAAAGTTTCAGCAGTTTAAACAATTTGAATGCACTTGTAGATCCTGCCCGCATACTCTACTACCCCAACATAAAATCTCATGCAAAAAAAATGTTGCTTTCAAAATCCACCTCTGTGCATAACATAAACTGTAAAGTCAAACAGAGAGCTACATTAGAAGAGGGAAAGGTCATAGCAAATGTATGCGATGGTTTGGTTAAAAACCCAACCTTTATAGAACTTTGAGGGAAAGAAAAAGGTAAAGGTGCAAATTACTGTTTTTCCATTATGCATACCGAGAAATACTTTCATTGTTACAGCATGTTAAAAGGTTAAAGGGGTATGAATGCATTTGCAAGAGCCTTTATGCCAGAATAAAGTAAAAACCCAATAATAGAAATTAAAAACAGCTTTTGAACACTATGAGCTAGTCTTGCAATGAGAAATTGTTTTCGCATAACAACAGCATGGTTTAACGATGTAACGTACACTGTAATCTGATGTAATCTACTGTCTACTTTACGTTACAGCTCTATTTTATATTTAATCCACTGTTAAAGTTGCCTGCCTATAGTTTGCAGGTACACTAAAGTATGTAACAGATGTAGTTGGAAGTCAGTACAATATTTATTCACTTTTTTTAAACAACAATAGCTGCACAGTAACTAAATACATTTCGATCAGTCTGTTCAGTAATATAGTAAGATTTTGCTCACTGCCAGCAGTGTACATTAGGTAACAGCAGCACATTAGAGTTGATCTAATATCTAATACAATTTACAATACTACTCAATCCTCTCTGAGCACCATGCCTGCAAATCGGACTCATTCTGCAGCTCATCGTACAATCAAGAGCAGCAATAGATGACATTCTTGAATGTGTTATACAGCGAGGTGTGCAAAAAACAAATCCTGAAAGATGGTGTGATATTCACAAGAGTAATAGAGACACTTTGAATGTCTCACATTGTCTCCTCCTGCCGCTTTTCCACGGTGCAGCACAGACTAAAGCAGCTAGGCTGCCACTGGAAGTTCATGTGTGTTTCTTAAGTCCAGAAAGTGCTTGTTGGGATGTTGAAGTGAAGGGATTAGATCATTCAGTTGCCTGCTTGTCCAAGTTTTACATATACAACCAAATTCAGAGGTGGGGGTCCTTTAGGTCAGTAAGGAAAATCTCTTAAAGCCATCAGAGACTGCTGTTGTAGTGAAATAGTAATCTGCTTTTTTAGTTGAAGGCAGCAGTCGAAATGAGCAAACTTTTCATTGCAAATCTAACAAAGTTTAACATCTGTCCCATTAACCTGCCTTGAGCAACACAGATGGAGTGATATTGATGGTGGCATTCTGGAGTTTTAGAAGAAATGGAAAGAAAATAGCATTTTCATTGGGAATAGAGGAATAGAGGACATTGGATGCATGTGAGCTTAAGCCCTTGTTGCGACAAAATGCCACAGACAAAAAGATCAGCGATTAGTGTGTAAAGAGACACAGCTTTAAGGTGTTCATGCCTGTTGTACAAATTCTGCAAAGTAGAATTAAAAACAGAAAAATAACAGGAATAAAATAGCTTTTTTTTGTAGATATGATCATGACAACGTCCAGATGAATGACTTCAGTTTGCTCTCTAACGGCAGGCCGTACGTTTGTTACATCCTGGTTGTGAAATCATAATCAACACATGGTTTGGCAGATTGTATAAACACTTAAGGGCAAAGTGTTATATCTCTGAGTGTTTAGTTAGTGTTGAATTGCTGGTTGTCACAGCTAGTAAGCAGCACTTAGTTGTCAGCTGAGGTCACTGATAACATTTATAACCACAGCTGTTCCAGTAAAAGTGTATTACTCAAGCTAAAAACTCTAAAATGGGAATATATTACCATCTACATGATCTAATATTTGAACTTGTTACAGTGAGACTTATGTCCAAAAGGTTTAGATCACTGAGGTTACAGAGCTAAAACTCTGAGGAATAAACCTTTTCATTTCAACCTGGACTCTGAGCTGACTTTGCAAACCTGGAGTGTCAACATAGGCAGGAGAAGAAACAGTCTGAATGTTTGGAGAGTAGAAAGCTACCAGTGCAAACACAGAGATGTACTCCACAGCTGACCCTGTGCTTACCACCTGCTCAAATGACGGCAGATGAACCAGAAGGTGAATTTGAGTTAGGGGAGGAAGGAAGGTTCCAGAAGAGCCACTTGCGTTTACATTGCCTTCTCTGGTACAGGTAGTCCTCTTTTTCACGCTCTTTGCGTGCTCTTTGGTAGTGATCATCTTCTTTTAAGTACCAAACTGGCGGCCAGCGATGTTTCTCAAAGTATTCTTGATTTTCTGCAACGGAGGTAATAGTTCAAGGGACAATAGGGCAAATTTTAAACAGTGTGACTTTTATGGTAAAAACGGGAGCAAATATGTACAACATATATAAAACAGCTACATAAGAGAAAAAATCTCAAAGTTAGCCAATTTCAGTATTATCAGTCAAATTAGAACTTTATAGGGTAACTGTATACATCCACCAGTGGTACAAGGTGCAAATATAGCTGATATTAGATGCTACAGACAATTTAAAGATCAAACTCCTTAATCATTTTGTACTGGTTTTAGTGAACAAATACTGTTTATGTCATGTTTAACGGCAGAGTTGTTTAAAATCCCCTGCCAATATTAACAGGCTGCTGCATATTTACATTAAAAGGAAAGATTTCAGGCAATGCAGCGATAACTTAAAAACTGAAAAAGTAGGGAACAGAACCCACATTAGCTAAAATTCAATTTTTACTTTAGGTAAAAAATGTGGAGATTAGCAAAAAAAAAAAAAGGAAAAAAAGGCTTAAAACAGTGTTTTTTTTCATATTCAGTTTTTCCATATGCCCACCAACACAGCTTGATATCCCCAAATCTAGTAATGTTAACCTTTCTAGTTGTAGTTTAGTAGCTACTTGTTTGCAGTTCTGATGCCTGGATGAGAAGAAGAACTATTAGAGATTATATCAAGTTCTAAATGTGTTACCTGTGGACTTTGATTTCATTTCACGGGGAAACTTGCGGCAGACACTGTTGTAGTTGGTGCAGATGTGGTGTAGACACCAGCCAGTCAGCTGCTGGGCACCATGGAACTGGCAACACCCAATGTCAGATTGTGTTAGTGATGCATCAGTTATATTTAAAACACAGAGATCTCATCTTCAGTGGCATCAAATTATTGTTGAAGCATTCTAGTTTCTTTCCTGTAGTAAATACATATTTTTTAAAATAACTTCCACATACAGAGAATTTCAGCATACTTAAATCCATACAAGATTTCACCTTTTAATGTGAGCTTTCAGTACAAAAGACCTTGATAAGAGTACAACTGTTTTTAACCCGCCTCTTTATTGTTGTACCATGTATGCTCTGAAAGGCAAGACAAGTTTGATTTTATAGCGCATTTCAGTGGCAAGACAATTCAAAGCACTGTACATGAGAAATTAGGAAACTAAACTGCAGTGGCATGGAGATGAAACAAATACTAAAGGAAAATAAAAATTATCCAGTACATTATGGGCCGGATTTATCAAGATCCAATTTTGCGTGCAGTAATTTGCGCTCGCAAACTGGAATTTTGCGCGAGGGGCTGAACCATGGTTTGCGGGTGATTTAACAAGAGTGATTGCGTAACTGGTGGAAGGTGCAAAACTGTTGGAGACGCCCTATTTAAATGATGGTTTTGCGCGTTTTGTGGTTTGCGGCAAAGTAGTTTGTAGTCTGTACAAACTAGTGCATTAAGAAATTTAAATCTTACAGTGACCCCCAACAAAAAAAATAAATAAGTAAATATATATATATATATATATATATATATATATATATATATATATATATATATATATATTTATAAATTGACAACCTTTATTCCCTAAGGTGGTATGTGCTGCAGTAAAAAAAAACAAAAAAAAAAAACAGGTGTTTTGTATTGGCCTGTGACTGTGGATGAGATCCCCGCAGCATATGGCACGTTGCTCCACAGGCGCAGGGGGAGAACCCCGACCCTGTCGGACAGCATTTCGGACAGCACTTCTGAAAAAACGAGATTGGGAGATCCCAGCTCTCGCTGCAACCGTACGCTGGAATGACCCAGATGCAAAAAAGTGCAATGTTGCAAGGAGTTTTGTGATATCTGGTATTGCGTGGGTCCTCCTTGTGGCTGGCTCCAAATCCATTCGGAGTTCCCCCAACAGCTCCAAAATGGCAATGCTGGATAAACGATATGTTTTGATGATCGTTTCCTCGTTCATTCCAAAAATATTCACACGGAGTGAAAAAATGCGTTCTCTGCGTCTCCTTGCTTTATTTCCATGTCTCCTTCTTGCGACAATAACCGCTGCCATGTGTGCGCAATTACGCATACAGACCATTTGCACCTTCTTTTGGAACGTGTTAAATATAGAGTCAGATACCGTTAGCAAAATTGCGTTCAAGTTTGATAAATCACTTTGCGAGTGCTAAATTAATATATTTACATGTTCTCCTCCCACAAGACGCACTTTAGCGTGTAAACGCCCCATATTGCATATTCATTGCAGAAAAAGTACTAAATGGATCAGAGGTGCTATTTACCACGTTTTAAAGACCAAATGCTTTTAGCACGCTGTTGATAGATCAGTTTGTACATTTTTTAGCGTGCGCAGTGAAATAGCTCACGTTTTAATACACGCAAACCTTTGATAAATCCGGCCCTAAGAGTATTATGAATGAAAAAAATGAAAGTTAAACTGAAAACTTCAATAATAATGTTTAAATAACACAGTCAGAGGCCACTCTACACAAATGTGTTTTTTTTTATCTCCATTGAAATCAAATGAGGGTGTCAGACTTCGCTCCAGGTTAGTGGAGCATAAGACCAAAACGGTGCTTCTCCATGTTTGCTTCTGGTTCTAGCTATGCAAAGTTCATATTATCCAAATATTTGTATTATTTTATCAAGGTCCATAAACCCTTGAAATGTTCTTTAGGTGACAGAAGTCACCATCTTTATGTGCCCCTGACGTCCATTACTACACTCAGATTTAGAGGTTATGGGTGGTTTCTAGTTGTATGAGCTGAAGCTGTGTGCTAACCTTTGGTCATACTTCCTGTGGCACAAAACATATTTTTTTTTGATGCAGCTGAAGAAAATTGTCTAAAATCAGTGCTTCAATGGGTTCATAGTCACATTGTAATGTCATCTGCATAGTTTTGGTAACTTATGTTGTTGTTTATTAAGATTTGAGTTAAGGGGATAATCTAGATACTGAATAAAAGGGGCTCTAAGACAGACCAATGGGGAACGCCGCCTGTGATTTTTGTGGCTCTGATTTAAAGTTCCCTACAAACTCCCTGTCTTTCAAGTAGGATTTAAACCAGTCCAGTGCTGCACCAAAGCCATCCCAGTTTTCCAAGTCCTCTACTAAAATTGAGTGATTAACAGTGTTGAATGCTGCAGTGAGGTCCAATAATGCCACCACTGTGGTTCTTCAACAGTCTGCATTTATATGGAGGTCATTGAACACCTGGACAAGTGCAATCTCTGAACTGTGATGGTCACGGAAGCCTGATTGGAAAACATTGTAGTGGCTGCTCATTGTTAGGAAGGTGTGCAGCTGTTGAAGCGCAGTTTTTTCAACAGTCTAACTGATGAAAGGGAGGGTTGAGATGGGCCCGTATTTCCGCAGTAGCAGCTTGCCCGGTTTGCTCTTTTTTAACAGTGGTTTTATAATAGCTCTTTTTTAACAGTGGTTTTATAATAGCTGTTTTTATGGCCTGAGGGACCCCTAAAAAAAACTACAGGTTTATTATTTGAGGTAAATCAGATGTTCTGACAAGCAGAGCTTTCTCAAGGAAGCATCGAGACAGCATAATGACATTTTTGTCATTTGTTTGCTGAAACTGGAAATTTGTTTTTAGTTTGAAATACATTTGGACAGATAAGAGTCTTTTACCGAAGTCTTACATCAAAATGTGAAATCCTGTACAGATACAAGTGTGCAGATGTCCTTTGTTTGCCTTTGGACTATTTCTAGGTTTCCAGCACCTCAAACAAGGCATATTCAGGTTGACTGGACAGTTTTCCGTTTTCACAAAGAAAGTTTGTCCATCCTCTGTTTCTGTTGCTGTAGAAACATTCTCCCCAAAGTTAACCTGGTCATAGTGTCCTCTGTGTCTGCCCTCATTACAGCCAATCACATTGTTTTATTTCCTGATTTAGTCAGGAGATTTTTGTTGTAGTTTTTCAGAGCAGCTGTTATGAATGTTCCAGATTTTAAATCCGAGTTTGTTAAACCTACTTCATGAAACGGACCCCTGAAATCAGGAAAACTCAGAGTTTTCTGTTTCAAGAAGAGAGTTTACTCAACCTCTGTTTCCTTCACCGTAGTAACATCCTCCCCAGAGCTAACCCGGTCGGTAGCAGGTTTGGTTCAGTAATTCAAGAGTCTACCCTGTTTCTGCCCTCCTTAGAGCCAATCACCTTGTTTTATTTCCTGATATAGTCAGATTATTGTCATAGTTTTGTGCATTAAAAAAAATCATCCACTAGGTCCATTAGACACATTAGGTTTTAAAAACAAACATTGCATGTACTTTTGTAGTTTGCACGTTCTTCCTTAGCATGCATGGGTTCTCTCCTGGTACTCCGACTTCCTCCCACAGTCCAAAAACATGACTGTTAGCTTAATTGGCTTTTCTATATTCTCTATATTCTTTTGGAAGAAAGAATAAACATGAGGAGCCACCCTATAAGATGATGAACAGGTCCTACCTGTTTGAACAATATTTTTATAGTTCATCTTCACCTGCTGACAGGTGAGTCCACTAAAATAGAAAACATTGATAGACTACCATTCAAGAAATAAACTAGTTTTCCTGTAATGTTATCATTGTTACAGCAGGCTAGCCATTTTATATGTATTAGATTGACTGAATATCTCTTTCTGATATCTGAAAAAAAATGTTTGTCTTGTCGAAATAACTATTTAAAACAAAATGACATTTTTCACTGCTAGAATAAACATTCTGGATGTCCAGAAATTTACTTCAGATCTCCATATTTCTATTGTTACTGGTCAGCATATGTTATTATTTTAACTATGGCAAATAATTTTTATGAATAATATATACATAATCAGTCATGCTGATAAATGTCAAAATAGAGCCTTAAAATGTTTAAAGATTTCTATGTATATAAAACTTGATTCTTGATGGAATTTCTTTTTTTTTTATTTCTCAGATTCAGTTTCTGCTGCAAAAATGTAATTCAGGAAATACATTATTAGAGTTCAGTCTAGGAATGCGATTTTGAACAGGAAGAATTTTATTTTGTAACAACAGCTTTTAATAAATGTTCAAACAGCCTGCCACTGCATATAAACCTGTGCATGAACTGGTGTGACAATCTTCTCCTTCGCCATCTTCCTCTGCTTTGCAGCTGTAGTCCTGTTGCTCTGTCTTTTAAACAAAGTCTCCAATTAGTTTTGTAATTTCTGCATTGAAATCTCTAGTTCTAGTGAGGTGAAATAGGCACTTCCTGCTGCCTGTCGTCACGGTGACTCGAGGAATCGGCTCTCCACTGATAAAGGCTTTTCATACTTGCATATCCATCCTGAGTGGACCTACTTAGAGTTGATTAAACTAAATCAGAGCAGCTTTAAGGAAATCGTTAACTCAGTTTCCAACCTTAGTCTAGATTAATTCAGAGCAGAGAATTTGAGTCTAAGTTTGTTAAACCTGCTTTGTGAAACGGCCCCCTACTGTAGATATTAACTTTAGCATGAAAACACAGCATTCATATTGTTTCAAAATAAATGCAGAACTTTTAACTTGTTAGCAATATTCCCATAGGTAAAGGACATTATTAAAGATTTGAAGGAAAAATCATAGATGGTTTTAAATGTTATTGTTAAGTCAGAGCTGATATTGACTCCTTTTTCCTAAACTCAATACTTATTTTGCTGGAATCAAACAGTAAAACTGTTTCTCTGGCTCCACCTGGTGGGGTCAAGATAATTTTTTTCCCACAAGTTGGTGGTGAGAGCTGGTATAACCTTTAAAGGATTTAGGATTTGAAAAATAAGAAATGATCAAAATTCAGTTTATTTTTGACATAATTGACAGGTGAACTCACCTGGGCCAGATCCAAGTATATCAGCACATCGCCATCAATATCCGTCCCCATCATTGCCGACTCCGTCAACACTGTCACCGTGTAGAGCTCTGAAAAGAAACAAAACCTAGAGCCTGAGATTAATTTAAAGATGGATGTCTTTTTCTGTTTGGATCCTGTTATATATTAGGAAATAAGAAATAACAATGCAATACCTGTAAGAGCAACCAGGTGAGGAAGACAAAGTCGATTGGCAAGAACGATGAGCTCCATTGCATCCAAGTCAGACCGAGAACAAAACCTGCCCATGTAGAGATACTCTAGCACAGCCCTCATGCAACTACGCGTTGTGTTGGGAAGCAGCACCTTGGATGGGAAAGGGGAGAAAAATTATTTAAAAGCTTATGCATTTCCCTGATTTGAATTCCAAATGCTTATTTTCTCATGTGACAGTTTCTTCCTCAGAATCTCAGGGGGCCTTAACAAAAAGGTGTTTTTCCCTTAAACTTTGTGAAAGCTTGGTTACCGGGCATGTTTTCTTGTACTTCTCTATATCTGTTTTTAATCTGCGAATGAGGCTGCCTGTTCTCTTCTAAGAGAAAGGCTATAAAGAAATACCTTTAATAAAGAAATGTTGTTTAGAGGATAAAGGATGATCCAAAAATGGAAATTGAAAGAAAATGGAAAATCACAATATGCAAAACTTTTTTTTCTAGTGTACCCCCCAAAAAAAATATTTGTAAAAATAATATAGCTTCACTGATGCATTTTTGAAAAGAGAAATAGTTCACACATATTAAATATACAAAGCCATATTTTAATTTAAAAGCCTTTCTTCTGACTACAGTTAATACTGGTTCATCTCAAGAGTTAAAATATTGTGAAAAAAAATCATTTTTGAAAATTATATCAGGAAATTAAACTCATATGGACTTGTTTCATACAGACAAAAATATTTTGAGTCTATACTTGTAATTTTGATGATTATGGCTTACAGATGATGAAAACCTAAAATTCTCAGAAAATTAGAATATGACCTAGACAACTTTTGTCATTTTGTACAAACAGAGTGTATGCAAAATTAAATTTCATTTACATTTAGTCAAGCTTTCATAAAATTTCCATTTCTTAAAGTGCAGCCGTGATCAAACGTGAATCGGTGTGGGGGAAAAACCTGGTTCCAAAAAAAGTGCATAGATATGGAAGTTCAGAGCATTAAATATATATGGAGCAATTATGCAGTGTCTGTGACAATATTGTGAAAAATAGAAATGCATTAAACTCGTAAACACATTTTTTAAATGGAAATTTGAAAAACTACAATCCAGAAATAAAACATTATTTACCATATTTTCTTTTTACATTTTTATTTTTAACAGATTTAACACTTTTATATTTTTATTTTTTCTGAATCTTTTTTCAGATTGAGTTTTGCATTCTTTAGTTCACATCAATTTTAGATCACTCTCTCTTTGCTTCAAGCCCAATGCCAAGATCACTGACCAATAACAATGTTTTTACTAACATCCCAATAGAAATGCGCCTTCGTTTGCACCAAGAGGAAAGCTCAAAACCAGAAGAAAAGAGAATGTGATCTGAAAAAATGCAATTTGAATAGAATGCAATTTTGTAATTAAAATTATTATTTTTTAATTAAATGCAAACCATTTCATTTAGAAAATGTGTTCTTTGCAAAAATATTGGAACAAAATTCCCTCCATAGATGTATGAAAAAATCTCAACTTAGATGTATAATGTATTTGGCTGCAGGAGCAATGATGGAAAAAGGACAAGCATGACCTCTCTAAAACTGTCTCAAAGCAGCTGCCAATTGGGGGATTAATCTAACAAAACATTTATGCAACCTAATCTTTATTTTACTTTTTTTTTTTTTTACAATAAATAGCTATTAAGAGTTGTATAAAAAAAACACACTAAACAGTTTCTTCACAGATTTACTGTATGTTTGGATCACAAAGCCAGTTTAATTGTATTACACAAGATTTCAAGTCCCCAAATTGTATTACTCCTCACATCGCCGTTGGACTTCTGCTAACGCTAGCATTCACTGCCTAGAAGAAGTATTTATACGAGTTAAACTCTTTGCCTTCTAGCAACCACAAATGTACTTTACTGAGCCTTTATAACGCAGATCAACACAACTACAGTTTAATTATGAAATGACAGAAAGACTTTTTTTTCCCCAGTAAAGAAAAAAATTGTAAAATGTTGCCTGGATTTGATATCCAACCCTGCTGAGTCAGTATTTCATAGAACTGCCTTTCACTGTGGTTATAGCATTATGTTTTTTAAGGTATGAATTCTGGCATGTTCTTGTTTGGAAAATGGCTGAAATTTCAGTAGAAATTATAAAAATCCTGCGAAATATTCTGAATTGGGTTTTCCTGTAGATTTGGTCTAGGTCAATTTAGCATCTGAGTTTTCTTATGGTGATATTCAAAATGACCTAGTCATTAAACATAGTATCCAGCATTTAAGCAAAATAGCTCAACTATTTTCTCATCTGTCAAGACCTGTTTCCTCTACATGTTCTCTATCTTCTAGATAATAACTGCCAAACTTCAAACAGGATTTCTTATTTTGTTCTTTTAACAGTGCCTTTCTTCTTATTTCTATTCACTGGTACTAATTTTCATGTGAGCAGCTTCTACGGCTCCACAAGCTTGTCAGTTGAGGTGGAAAATAATTTCTAACTAGGCCTGCAGGTGAGTGATACTTCTATTTTTATGTACTGTAGTGGACTGAGTGTTCCACAAAGTGCTGATATATTGTTACTCTGGTTTCCCAGAGTAAGTTAAGCTTCTTCACACTTACCTTTTTAAATCTCTGGCCTGTCTTGAATTCTTTGGTTTTTCCAATTATTTTTAATTACTAATCTGAAAAGTCAGAGGGCCTGTTTATAAGCCACGGGAGAAGAGGAATTTGTTCTTTCTCTCTGGGCAGCAAAAGCAGGGTTGTCATTTTTTTCTGTGCTCTAGTAGTATGTATAATTATCTACAATAATTGTAATAATATAAATAATTGATATAAATAAATAAAGATAAATAATATAATAATCTATAATTTTGGAGAGCAACTGCAAGTTAGCTTGCACATAAAAATACTAATTAACTGACCTTTAAAAGTAAGTGGTTGAACTTAATGTCACTGTGGGATATCAGAGGCTTTAAAAAAAAACTATTTTCCCTTACAGTGCACAAGTATGAGTTATTTTTGAAGCTGCCAATTGGAATCTCAATAAAACTTTGCTTGGGACTGGCCTGTATCTTTAACAAGGCACTGCTTTTATCGATCTTCGCAACATCAGTGTGTTTTTTACTAACTACTTTTCTTTGATCTCTTTCACAAGTTTGCCTCACCTCTTTGGTGCAGCTCTCGACAAAAGGTCCACCAAACATAGCTGCCATCCAGTCACAACTAGAGATGAGCAAAGGCTTGTGGGCCATGATCGTCCCATCATCCAGTTTGAATACCACATCTGCAACACCACAGAGAAAAACTAGTAAGACCTTAGTGATAACTGTATGGAAAGCAGTGAAGAAGCAAAAATAATCATTTTCTCTCACCAGAAAAGGTGCCTTTAGCCAAGCACTCTTTTACTCTGTTTGTGCGGCGTACGTGGAAGGCTTTGGTGATTTCCTGGTTCATAAAGGCTTCGTTATTGAGTATGTTTGCCACCATCATCCGCAGATCAAAAACCTCCAGCATCTCAGCAATGTGTGCAATCTGCATGAGTTCTTTCTCATTCTCATCCAGCTGACCAGTGTACAGGTAGCGAAGCACTGCTCGAAAAGAGCCTAGCTGGATTGACTGGTCCATGTGCACTACGGTCATGAATCTGGGGGAGTACGTCACAGGGTCGTCCACCAACTCCTCCTGAATGCTGACAAAGGCTCGACTCCACGAGGAGAGCAGCCTGCCCCGCCGTGCCCCCTCAGAATCCTTCAAGGTCCCATCGCTGGTGCACGCTCTCAAGTTTGCCCTGTCTCCGTCATCGTTGTTCTCGCAAACATCAAAGCTAGCAGCACGCATCAGCAGCTCTCTGCCAGAGAGAGGGCCACGATGAGGCCTTTCCGCCTCCTCATTTTGGGTGTCCATACTAAACAGGTCATAAAACTTTGAGGAGGATGTGGCCAAGTATATTTTGTGTGCAAAGATTTTCTGTCGTTCCTGTAGGACCAGGATAACATCAGCACAGTGTGGGTCCTCCAGCAGACCAGCTGGGTGCTCTTCTGTGGTGGACGGGGGAGGTGGCACAGTGATGATAGGAGGGGGAGGTTTCGGAGGCAGGAAGGGCGCTTGGAGCAGAGGCCGCTGGACATTTCTAAGGTGAGATTTCCAAAACTGCAGATGGCGGCGAGAAATGAGAGCAGCTCGGATGGCATTGTCAAAGACGTCCTTGACACCAAACTGAGCAACAACACTGGTTTCGTAATATGGGACACCCAACTCTTTGGCCAACTCCCGGCCTCTCTCTGGTGGAAGAATCTCATTGGATTTTATAGGTCTGAAAATGAGGGAAACAGTTTAAAGATAGATGGAGAGGAGAGAAAAACAACGCTTTTTTTTTTTTTTTTTAATCTTTCTCACTAACATTAAACCAGATCAAGCCTTCCCTGTTTCAAATCAGCTGACATACAAATTACCTTTTTTTTTTACTTTAAAATGATAATAAAGAAATTATTTGTTTAATTGAAAAGCTAACATTTCCCTTCAAACTTTATGACCGGGTTAAAATGTTTTAGATACAGTACTGTAATTGTTACATTTATGCTTATTGTACATAATAATTATATAATTTCTTTTCCTTTTTCAAAGACAATTATCCGATAAGAATTCATTTAAGTCGTATTATTTTTATATTCAATTATCTAGTACATAGTAAATGTGCTTTTATTTTAAAGTAAAAAAGGTCTCGTTTGAGCTCTCACGGAAGAAGCAATCAAGCAATTATTGACGATTTTTAGGTCAATGCTAAGGACGTTTATAAAAACATCATCTTAAAATTATTTGGATAATTCCCTTGTTTCTTGCGGCATACAGCCAATGAGGTATTTTATTTATTTGTTTGCTTTGTAACCATTATTTTATATGCTCTGCAAGTTATTATTTGTCACATTAATGTTTGTTTGTCAACATTATTTTATTTTCACGGGAGAGTTGGATTTAAACCAATTAAAGAAACTTAAGTCTGCTTGTGATTGGAGGGAATTACAAGAACAATGACTGGGCATTCCCATGGTGTTTGCACTAAAGTGTGAAAAAGACTTGTAGGGTTACAAATCCCTCTTTCAGATATCTTGAGTGATTTGATCAGATCTTTCAATGACATCACATGAGTGAAAATATTTTAAAATGTCACTACCTTTACTTGAGTAAAATTTCTGCTATTCCATACATTGTATCTTCATTTAGTGAAAACAAGCTTATTTTAAATTATTGAGAGACACTTTCTTCTTTCTCGTGCTGAAAGCTTATTGATTAAGTCTTATTTTCCATCTGTTGAAGCTGTGTCATTTGGAGGTCGACTGAAGATACAGTAAACAATAAACTGTAATTGAAGCTGTTCTATATACTGTAACTATTGATTTTGTAATTTGTATAACTCAGAAAATATTAAATCAGTTGTTATGATCATAGGTTGTAAATAGTTAAGTTACTGAGTACCTGAGTAGCCTTTTTAACAAAGTATTTTTTTCCGTCTTACTTGAGAAATGTCTTTAAAAGCTGATTTTTACTTTTCCTTGAGTAAAAATATGATGATGTAGTGCTACCTTTACGTAAGTATGATTTTCCTGAACCCACCTCTGGCCATAAATTACACCTACCCTTGATTTTACGGTATTACATCATGTTCTACTCACTCATATGAGTTTTGTGTCATATGGAGCCATTCTGAAGATATTCCGTTAGGTTATATCAAAATAGCGTCTTCCTATCGGCAGCGAGTTGAAGGCACAAACTAAACTGTTCATAATTTATAATTTATGGTACGCCAGCATTCATAACACTGTCCCCAGACATCCGCAGTTATATTTTTTATATTTATATTTTTTTAAAACAAAGCAGATGACATCGGCTAGCTAATCTGAATCGTTCAATTCCATTTGGAGAGCGAGATCATCTGTGGTAGTAGCACTAGACATCTTCCAGGCATGTGAGTAAAACTAGCAGCAGTTCAGCGGACAGGAAGCATTAACAGTAGCTGGCGCACGCGGATGACATCATACACACTCCGCTTTGTTTTAAAAAATACAAATATAAAAAATATAACCGGGGATGTCTGGGGGACAGTGATTCGCCTACATGCTATGAATGCTGGCGTACCATAAAGAATAGTTTAGTTTGTGCCTTCAAGTCGTTGCACATAGGAAGACGTTACTTGGAAATAACCTAACGGAATATCTTCAGAAAAGCTCCAAATGACACAAAACTCATATGGGTGAGTAGAACATGATGTAATAACGTCAAATCAAGGGCCCAATGTAAAAAAAAAAAAAAAAAAAACGGCATTCCCCTTTAAATAGTTTTCTCTGTGAAAGTGAAAGCTTGCATATTCAGCCTCACCTTGCTAGAGGCCTCCGGGCCCGGTTAACTGCCTCTAGGTCTGCATAGCGTAGATCCAACTGACAGCCTACCAAGATGACAGGAGCCCGGGGACAGAAGTGCTTGATTTCAGGGTACCACATGGTCTTTACATGGTACAGAGAGTTGGGATTGGCGATAGAGAAGCACAGTACCACTACGTCGGACCTAAACATTGCAATAGGTACATTTTTATTTTCAATTTGATTGGATAATAGAATCTCTTTGTACAAAAACATCTGCTTTCATAGCTTCTGACCTGCCGTATGCAAAACGCCGATCTTTATGATGATCTCCAAAAGTATCCCATAAGCGGAGGGAAACGCTTACATCATCCACTACATCTCTGGAGCGCTCCAACACCTAAGTAGTGATAATGAAAGATATTCATTTATTTTTATCAGTATCAAAAAGATCCTAGGCTCTAACAATGTTAAGCCTTCTTACTCACCTCTTGGCATACTCTGTACTGATCAATTGCCCAGACTGTGGGCACATGTGTAGCGAGCAGCTGGTATTGGGTGAGTGTGGCATTGCAGGCACGGGCGCAGATAAGGCGGGTCTTTCCAACCGCATTGTCTCCCACCACCACACACTTGATAGTTTCAACGTTTGGCCTCTCATAGTCCATATCAGTATTGGTCAACTGGGAGCTGAGCAATTAAACCAGAGGAACAAAACACTCCTATCAGACACAGAAGTCTATGGCATCCTGTGTGTTACGGGAACCTGGATGCTCCCTCTCTGTTTCTCATCTGTCCTGCTCTGTCAGCTTGCAGAGCTATCAATGAATGGTCTCGTGACTTCCCTGTGCTCATTCACAAGTTTCCCGTCGCTGATTCTTAAAGTGACCAGCAAACTGACACAAGGGACACCTTGTTTATCCTGGACAATAAATGTAAGACAGCAAAACAGATTCTGAGAAGAACAAACTTACTTTACTATTGGAGTTACTGTGTCATTGAAATGCATGCAGGGTAACCTTGAGTCCAGAACATTCATGCATGCTTCACCCCTGCATGAAAAAAAGAGTAATCCATCTCCTTTTAGCCTCAGACAATCCTCTAAATGTTCCATCATTACGAAAAAATCTATTTTAATATGGATGTTTATTTAGGAAAAAAAAATGCATTATTTTAATATAAATTAATATGTAACACTGCATTAAATAGCTTCTGTCTAAATATAAAAAAACATTAAATCTGATGATAGCTTTAAATGGCTGGATTAGCTTCTCAGCCAATCCCCAAGGTCTACAGGGCCCTGATAATGACTCATTTATTCATTTAAATGAGATTAAACCTAAAATACATTCAGGAAACTCTTCCCAAAAAACAGGCTTTCTTGGTAAAGATTTTTAATCTCAGAATATTATTTTTTTTTTCTTTTTCAAACTCTAAAAACCTGTGTTTGGGGAACAACACAAAAATTATCATACTGCCATTTTCTGAATGAAGTCAGTCCGCCCTCACTAACACATGCAGGACAGGAATAATCCTCTTCTTAAAGCATCACTCTGGGTCACTGCTCTTCATCCAGACTAATTCTTTCTATTTATTTTGGGCAAATCTGTATTCCATACATTCAATGCCCTGCTTCACATTGTTAGAAGCAAGGCTGTAAATGTCCCCTGCTTTTTAAGTCACATAGCTTGTCACCATTCATAAAATCGAGCAACACAAGCTGCAGCCTTGTTTGACTAATCTATGCAACGATACAAACCAAACAATTTGACCTTAAAGCTTAAGATTCACTGCTTCCTGGAATAGCAAACAGTACAATGCGCAACTCTAAAATTATTTCATCATTTCATTTAAAGGTCGAAGTTGCACAGCATTGTCGATGCAAATAGTCTGTCAGCAAAAATAGATATGTACGTTTTCATCATCCACCTTAAAATCTTAGAAGGAGTATAAAATAGTTGATTTCCTACCATGGAGAGCGAACTGTCCCTCCACCACCGAGACAAACTAGTCATGAGGCTTTGCTGCATTACATGTTATGTAACGCCCCGTCACTGACTCCTGAGCCTGTTTATCCGACTCCGAAACACCCCGGCGCAAAAAACCAACGATAAAGGATTAAAACCAGTTTAACTTGGCTGCCGTGCTACCAAACGCCTGCTTACCGCAACAAAAGGAAGTGCTGAATTAGGTTGGTCGATGAGCGCGTCGGAAAGCAGGGCTCCATCGGATGCGACGCGCACCTGACAGCTGATCGCGTTCAGCTTCATCTTCAGGGGAAGGTGGACCGATGTTTAGAAAATAACCGGCCGATCTCTGTTTTTTTTAGGTGATAAACCTCCCTTTGGATCGGTATTTTTAATAAAAGGCGACTGCAGTGCTGCCAGCGCGCTGCTGTGGAGTCCACCGGTGCTGTTTGCAGAGCTGCAGCTCTGACGGTCATGGAGCCACTTCCACTCACTGTAAGGCCTCCGTAGCTAATAATAGGGAGGCGCACAGAGGCAGGAAGAAAAAAAAAGGGGATCATTACAAAACACTGATCTACACGGAAGAGAATTATGGGCCACTAAAAATATTTAAAAGTTAACAGATTTTTAAATTTTGTTTCAGTTTAATATGAGAAAAAAGTCAGAATTCTGAGTTTGTCTAAAAATTCTGACTTTTTTCTTAGAATTCTGATTTTTTTTCTTCAGAATTCTGACTTTATTCTCAGAATTTTGACTTTTCTTCTCAAAATTCTGACTTTTTTCTCAAAATTCTGACTTTTTCTCACAATTCTGACTTTAATCTCAGAATTCTGACTTTTTTTCAGAATTCTGACTGAATTTTGACAGCTAACAAACATGTTAGCATCTTGTTTTAATCACCGTCTGCTCTTCCATTAATGAAACAGCATCACAGGGGAACACTTGGGCACATAAAAAGTCGCCTAAGTTTCCACCAATGTGTCACTGGCCCTTTCAAACAACTCACATCTTTGTCGGTTAAGCTGAGTGCTCCCACATCTCTTCCTTCATGCTGCCCAAAATCTGAGATTAAAGTCAGAATTCTGAGGAAAAAAAAGTCAAAATTCTGAGATTAAAGTCAGAATTCTGAGAAAAGAAGTCAGAATTCTGAGATCAAAGTCAGACTTAAGTCTGACTTAAATCTCACAATTCTGACTTTTTTCTCAGAAGTCCTACTTAATCTCAGAATTCAGATTTTTGATTCAGAATTCTGACTTTAATCTCAGAAATCTGACTTTTTTCTCAGAATTCTGTCTTTGATCTCAGAATTCTGACTTTTTTTCCCCCAGAATTCAGATTTTTTTCTCAGAATTCTGACAGCTAACAAACATGTTAGCATCATGCCATAGCCATGTCTGTTTTAGAGACTAAACTAGCTCTCTTGTTTTAATCACCTTCTGCTCTTCCATTAACAGCATCACGGGGGACTCCTAATTCCGTCATTTTTCACCAATGTATCACTGACCCTCTCAAACAACTCACATCTTTGTCAGTGAAGCCGAGTGCTCCCACATCTCTTCCTTCATGGTGCCTATCTACATTAAGATCCAAAATTCTGAGATTAAAGTCAGAATTCTGAGAAAAAAGTCAGAATTATGAGATTAAAATCAGAATTATGAGATTAAAATCGGAATTCTCAGAAAAAAAGTCAGAATTCTGAGATTAAAGTCTGAATTCTGAGAAAAAAGTCAGAATTTTGATCAAAAAATCTGAATTCTGAGATTAAAATCAGAATTCTGAGAAAAAAGTCTGAATTCGGAGATTAAAATCTAAATTCTGCAAAGCATGTTGAAGTTTTATTTCTACAAGTGGACACTCCTTAACTGATTGTTAGCTCTGCTCTATCTAGCACTTTCATAACAGTTTCTGCTGTGGGAAAGAAGCACTAGAGGGAGAACAATGAGGAGGTATCTATAATAGGCAGACTTCTTCAAATCCCCAGGTTAAGTCCATGGTTTCTCAAGAGTGTACTTAAGTACATTTTTTAGGTATCTATACTTTACTCCATTACTTATTTTTCTTCCTACTTCTGACTTCTACTCATTACATTTTAACACAAGTATCTGTACTTTCTATTCCCTACATTTGAAAACAGATGTTACTTGTTACTCTTGGCTATGGTTTAATTTTTATAAATATTTATTTCACGTCATGTGCACCATCCAATGCAGATCACTGGCGCCATCCACATCTGGTGAAAACTAGTGTAATTGGATGCGTCATATCATATCAACACTCACTGGTTAGCTATTCATGAAATTTGTGCTGATGCCAAACAAAATCATCATAAGCAAGCAGGTGTTCGTCAAACTGCAAACGCAAATTGTCTATGCCATGCTAAAATGTCGGATTTAGAAAAAGATGCCAAAATGTCTGAAAGGTCAGACACAGGCAAAAGGGTAATGGGAGATGGAGGCGGAGACCAACAAGACCTCCCTCATCCTTGATCCTATCTGAAAGAATTTTACGAAATAGACAAAAACTTGAGCTTTCAATTCATATAGTGGCATCTGGCTGTTTTTTTTAAAGGTTACTTTATACATTTATGCTTTAAGTAGATTTTGGAGCACATACTTTTTAACTTTTACTTAAGTATAGAGGTCAAGTTGACACTTCAACTTTTACCAGAGTGTTTTTAAACTGCAGTATCTATACTTCTACTTAAGTAACAAATGTGTTTACTTTTGAAACATTTTTGAGACCCTTGACTTTAAAAAGGCACTATAAAAGTAGAGGTCACTCTCAATGGGTCCAAACTTCGAGTCCTGCTTGTAGTCTTAAGTCTCAACTATCCAGCCAGGTTTTTTAAATGGACAGTGTGTAATTAATCTGGCTTTTTATTAGCAATAAGCTAGTATTGCTTTAATGAATACACACTCTCTGAAAGTCTAAATACATAATAAAAAAAGAGCATTCTCATAGCTTAGAACTAGTTGTTCAATCTGAAAAACACACACGCAAGAAAAAGACATTTAGATGAATTTTATTGATACAAGTACCTTAGTCTTTGGCACTCAGACCTCGGCAGGAAACATTAGCACTGAATTTTATTTGATATGTACGAACAGGAGATGTTTCCCCCCCAGGCCTGAAACTTGTGGTTGAGTGGAAATAGATGAAGTTGGTCAGTCCGTAGACTGCCGGTTGGCGAGACAGCGTGCTTGTGCTGTATGGAGAGATCCAGTGAACTGCATGAGCTCATACTTGTGCTTCACTCGGGTACCTGGAATATGGGAGTCCAGCTTTAATAACACAGGTTGCATCAACCTGTCCATGAGGAGCAAGCATGAAGCGACAGTGGAGAGGTTGAGATAAGACAGGGAACACAGTAAGAATTCGGGGGGAAAGACACTCTGATGAAGCTTTAGTTACCATGGTGAAGAAGGGGCTGGAGGTGGGTTGAATCAGTTTCATCTGAATCGAAGTCAGACATAGTGCAACCACTGTCTGTGCTTTGGGTAGCAGACCAAGTTGTGGATTTGGAGACCTTTTAAGAGGAACTGGATGCTGATTGGGCTTTCGTGGACGTGTGGTTCAAAGCTGATTAGCTTGTGATGGAGGCGGATGAGGGTAAGTAATCGGTTTCTTCAGTTGAACTTCCGCCTAGGCTTCATTTTACAAATGCATAAGGGGCGGTGCACCCAATGGGAGATGCCATGTTATATCTACATTTTTGATTAGATAAGCCAGAAGCGGACAAGCTTTAAGGCTTTACGTGTTTTACCTGTGCCTGGAAATGTGTTGTTAGTGGCTGAAGAGTTAAAAAAACAAGAAAAAGCAACTATACAGGTGCTGGTCATAAAATTAGAATATCATGAAAAAGTAGATTGATTTCAGTAATTCCATTTAAAAAGTGAAACTTGTATATTATATTCATACATTACATACAAACTCATATATTTCCGATGTTTATTTTGTTTAATTTTGATGATTACAAATGACAACAAATGAAAATCTCAAATTCATCATATCAGAAAATTAGAATATTACTGAAGACCAATAAAAACAAAGGATTTATAGAAATGTTGGCCAACTGAAAAGTATGAACATGAAAAGTATGAGCATGTACAGCACTCAGTATTTAGTTGGGCCTCCTTTGGCCTGTATTACTGCAGCAATGCGGCGTGGCATGGAGTCGATCAGTCTGTGGCACTGCTCAGGTGTTATGATAGCCCAGGTTGCTCTAATAGTGGCTTTTAGCTCTTCTGAATTGTTGGGTCTGGTGTATTGCATCTTCTTCTTCACAATACCCCATAGATTTTCTATGGGGTTAAGGTCAGGAGAGTTTGCTGGCCAATTAAGAACAGGGATACCATGGTCCTTCAACCAGGTACTGGTAGCTTTGGCACTGTGTGCAGGTGCCAAGTCCTGTTGGAAAATGAAATCTGCATCTCCAAAAAGTTGGTCAGCTGCAGGAAGCATGAAGTGCTCTAAAACTTCCTGGTATGTGGCTGCGTTGACCCTGGACCTCAGAAAACACAATGGACCAACACCAGCAGATGACATGGCACCCCAAACCATCACTGACTGTGGAAACTTTACACTGGACTTCAAGCAACGTGGATGAAGTGCCTCTCTTCTTTTCCTCCAGACTCTGGGACCTTGATTTCCAAAGGAAATGCAAAATTTACTTTCATCAGAGAACATGACTTTGGACCACTCACCAGCTCTTTAGCCAAGGCAAGACGCTTCTGACGCTGTCTGTGGTTCAAGAGTGGCTTGACACAAGGAATGCGACAGCAGAAACCCATGTCTTTCATACGTCTGTGTGTGGTGGTTCTTGAAGCACTCACTCCAGCTGCAGTCCACTCTTTGTGAATCTCCCCCACATTTTTGAATGGGTTTTGTTTCACAATCCTCTCCAGGGTGCGGTTATCTCTCTTGCTTGTACACTTTTTTCGACCACATCTTTTCCTTCCCTTCGCCTCTCTATTAATGTGCTTGGACACTGAGCTCTGTGAACAGCCAGCCTCTTTAGCGATGACCTTTTGTGTCTTGCCCTCCTTGTGCAAGGTGTCGATGGTCGTCTTTTGGACAACTGTCAAGTCAGCAGTCTTCCCCATGATTGTGTAGCCTATAGAACTAGACTGAAAGACCATTTAAAGGCTTTTGCAGGTGGTTTGAGTTAATTAGCTGATTAGAGTGTGGCACCAGGGGCCATCAATTTTGAACCTTTTCACAATATTCGAATTTTCTGATATGATGAATTTGAGATTTTCATTTGTTGTAATTTGTAATCATCAAAATTAAACCAAATAAACATCTGAAATATATGAGTTTGTATGTAATGTATGAATATAATATACAAGTTTCACTTTTTAAATGGAATTACTGAAATCAATCTACTTTTTCATGATATTCTAATTTTATGACCAGCACCTGTATATCATTCTATCTTCTACGTTCTGTTGCAATGGAAGAACATACCTGCTTTATGAGTTAGAGGCAAAAGAAACAACCCCCCAA